GTCCCTTTCTGCCTGGCCCCTGTCCGGTCACTCTGTCCCCAGCCTGTAGCACTGCAGGGGATTGCTGTGGCCAAAGTGCAGGACCTGGCACTTGATCTTGTTAAACCTCAGATTATTGTACTCAGCCCATCTATCCAGCTTGTCCAGGTCTCCCTGCAGAGCCCTCCTACCCTCCAGCAGATCAACACTCACACCCAGCTCGGTGTCATCTGCTAATTTGCTGTGGCAGACTCAATCCCTTCATTTGGATCATCAGAAAAGATAGTAAACAGGACTGAACCCAACACAGATCCCTGGAGGACACCACTGGTGACTGATTCCCAGCTGAATGCCGCACCATTCACCACCACTCTCTGGCCCATGCCCAAATTACTGTTTGGGAAAGGCCAGACAATACATATTGTTCTGTTATGTTTTTGTTTATTGTTCTCTTATCCATTTCTGTGCTAGCAATCTATGAAAAACTGTCTGCAGCCTGTAAATTTTCAGGTAAAATAGCATGTTTGCTACTCTCCAGCTTACCTAGGCTCCAGTGTCTCCAGTAAGGACCTGGACCCATTTAATCTGTTTTCCTGACAGTGATGGTTGTAGCTTTGCCCATCATTCTTCAGAACTTTTCTTGGTCCTTCCTGTGTCTGCCACTTCAGCAAGTCCAGAGTACTTCCTTAGTGGGTTCATTCTGATAAAGTAATAAGGCCACCCATTTGCTTGGGGAAAGCTTTGTGGAAGGAAGTTAGAGCATAGGTCTTATAAGAGGTGGCTGAGGGAGCTGGGGATGTTTAGCCTGGAGAGAAGGAGGCTCAGGGAAGCGATCTTGTCGCTCTCTACAACTGTCTGTGAGGATGTTGCAGTGAGATGAGGGTCAGTATATTCTTAAAAATGTGGGTATTAAAGTGGTAGGTGCTGCTGCCTATCTCTTGTCCCCAGCAAGTTTCTCCTGTCAAAAGGCAAGCTGAGTTAACATTCAGGCAATGCAGTCAAACCTCCACTCAACACTCACTGCAGCTGGCTCAGGAATAGAAGCAAGAAAGGCTCTTTTGCAAGATTTTATTCCAGCAGAATAACACAGTATCTGAAGGGCAAACCCAGGGAAAGAGGATGAACCCCGTGGAGCAGTCAGTTTATAAGGGGGAAGGGGTGGGGGGCAGAGCTGAGGGCTGGGCAGAGGGGCCCGGCCTCCAGGGGAACAGGAGTGGCCACCAGGGGTACCAAGCCAGTGACAGGGGAATGAGAAACCAGAGGAAGTTGTGACACCAAGACCATGGGGGAGTCTGTTTTTTTCCTTTGGGAGGGATGAGTCTGTGGTAAGTAGTTAATGTTTCCAGGGCTGAGGGCTTGGGGATTGACCAAGTGGGGAGAGTTCATGGGATGCTACATATTCTTACAGATAACAAGTGACAGGGTGAGAGTATTGGCCCCAAGTTGCACCAAGGGAGGTTTAGATTGAATATCTGGAAACATTTCTTCACAGGAAGGGTTGTCAATCCTTGGAACACACTACCCAGGGAACTGGTTAAGTCACCATCCCAGGAGGCACTTAAGGATGTGGTTTAGTGGTGGGCTTGGCAGTATTAAGTTTGCAGTTGGTCTCAATCCTAAAGGTCATTTCCAACCTCAGTGATCCTGTGATTCTGTGAAGCACTGGAGGGGTCTCTGAGGATGGGTGATGGGAATGACCATTTCTAGCACAGCAGGTTTTTAGTTTTATTATCAAGCTGGTTCTTTTGCTGTAGAATTGAAATAGGTATGAGGATAAGATTATTCCCATCCCAACACCACTGGCATGGAGTGATTTATCTTAGCAGTCTTCTACAAACAGTGCTCAAAGTGAGTGGTGTGAGGTGTCACAAGTTTTATTACCCAGGATCATACAAATTCTATCCACATTGTACCAGAATACATTTAACCTCATTCAGGCAGCAGACACATAGTGCCATTGAGTGAGAGAAACGGGCAAGCCAAGAACCTGTGACACTGAGCCAAGAGTTACTTCTGTAACCAGAGGACTTTCATGAAGGGCTTCATTATTTGACAATTTTTGTAGCAATAACTGTTGTTGACTTGAGTTGACAGGATACCCCTGTGTTCTCTGCTTTCCAGACAGCTCTGCTCAAATGCAGACACTATTGTGCCATAAAAGTGGCTCTGAGGGTTAAGGCTCTAAGCTTAAAGGCTTAGATTCTGGGGGAATTTGTAGATATTTGGTAGACATTATTATTCACCTGTTAACTAATGCAGAATAAACCTCTACAGTATTGTCGTTGCTGCAATCTCCTGTTCCAGGGTGAGTCCTTGTTTGTTTTGTCTCTGATACAGTGTTAATTTTCAGAGCTAACTACTGCAGTGTAGTCTGACTTTAAGCACTAAATTAAAAATATAATGAAAAATTAAAAATAATAAAAACTCCTCATGCAAGAAAAACATCTACTCTGCATACCAGAAAAATACAGAAAAAACCTAGCTTTGTGGTGTATTAGAGACTGAGTATTACTTTCCTTTCTCTATAAATATAGAATGATAAAGTACTGTAAACTTGCAGTATAATGCAATCCCATGCTATAAATCACGATGATGATGATGTGCTTCCAGGTCTACAGTTGTCTAAGCTTTCACCATGTCTAAATTCTCACTAATGCTGACAGTAATCATCCAGAGCTATACTGACAGTGAAAAAGCAGCAAAAATTTAATTATAAAATATCTTGTCTTTTGTGGTCCTGAGCTTTCATATCTGCAATTTCACACAACATAACATATATTGAAGCTAAGAATATTGATGCTTAGAACACTACACTAACCACTTGAACAGTACTATAGCACATGGAATAAAGTATCTTACATGTTTATTTGTGTAAAAAGGCCTCTGCAGTCACTGTTTTTTAAACTGCCTGAGGAGGTCAGAGAGTATAACTAGATAATTGTTGTAGGACCCTTCTAACTGAAATAAAAATCTCCACAGGAGAGCCAACCAAAACCAAATATCACAGACATCTATATTTCTCTAACCTGAAGACCTGAACATGGTATGTCTCCTAATCTTGTGTCACAGAGTAAGTACATTATTCCAACTAAAGCTCCTTTTTGGCTGCATGAAACTATTTAGTAAATGTATTTTTCTATTTCTCTCCACACAAAAGGTTCTTTCTTTGCTCTCAAAGTATACATCATAATGGGATGAGTTTTGAATTTATTTCCAATCTCCACACCAGGATTTTATATGTATCTCTTATTCTCCCAAATGTACTGTTTATGGCCATTGTGCAAATATTGTTCTAATGAGATCAATTAAGAATTACATATATTTTGAACTTTATAACTGAAAGTATAATACATCTATACCTTCTATTTAATATCCATGGGTGGTTCTAGTACAACTCTCCTGTTCTGCTGTATGAATTTTCTGTAATAAGATGTCAGACAATGGCTAGTAGAGTGGAGTTGATAATCAACCAGGTTAAAAGCCCAATCTGTCTCTTGAGTTTCATGTATCGAGACTGTTTCATGTACTGGAACAGCTTACAAGGCTTTGGTTTGGTTCTACTTGCTTACTTTATACATATTTTATCCATAACAGAATAATACGTATTGGTTCGTTAGGTGCAGAGTACAAAAAGAAGAATTTGATGTTTACAGGGATGAGTAAAGCTATTGAAGGTAAGCACTAGGAAAATAAGTTTCTTTGGCCAGAAATGAAAGAAATACTGTAAGTAATGAGCATGGATAATTCTTATATTCTGGAAAAGGACAAATTATGACTACTTGATAAAGATTATATATCAGGACTTCATTGTCTGTAACATCATTTCAATAACACCACTTGATATTACCAGTAAAAATAGCTCCACTAATAGCAGGATCATTTGCATTCTCTTAAATTCAATTAGGCAAAGCCGCCAGATTAAAGTTCAGAAAAAGAAGAAAGATATTTAAAAGACTGTCCAAAGTTGTGCAGTCTCGAGGGAGTGCTTCTCTTACCCCTTGTTTCAATTGCAAGATTTAACAGCTATGAGTGCACATTGCTTTGTGGGACAAGAATGAATTTTAAGTGCTAAGAAAAAATACAATGCATAACCCACAGTGAAATACAGGTTTGTTCCTGGCAGTCTTAACAGATATAGAGAGATATAGTTAAAGAGAGAGTGAATATAAATAAGGAAAATGAATAAACTAGGTTTTGTTTTGGATTTGCACTGAATTAATGAAGTGGGGATATGGAATTTCTCTGAGTTTTTAAGAGCATGGCTATTCTATAATTCATGCTGCCTAGTATGAGTGGAAATATTTGTGTGAATGCCAATCATCCTTCACTTTTAATGAGAAAATTTTTTAAAATGTCCATCTATGGATTCTCTGGTGCTTATGATACAGTTGATCAATTTCTTTCTCCACAAAGCAATTTTAATAAAATGTTCCTTAAACTTGAGACAACAACGATAAACTGGGTCTTCTACAATAAGTGCAGACTATTAATGCTTGGAGAGTTCATGACTGAGAAACTCTTGTAAGCCTGAATATGGTTCAGACTCCTTGCATTGTGGGGATACATGATGGAGTTGCATAGAAAGCATATTGAGGAAGACCCTTTTATCCCCTGTATTCCAGTGGCTCCTCTTCCATGCAATCTTTGGAGGTATGGGTACTTGAAATGGGTACCTGTTCAGCTCCTGAAATCTGTTTAACAGTTATTGTCATTGCAGTGTGAAAACATATCTGCAGTTACACCTCATCACAAATTATGGATGGGTTTTTCTGAATGTGTGGGTAATTGTAGGAGGAAATAGCCTGAATTTTATACAAGTAACAACTCCAATACTGTTAATGAAACTTATTATCAGCTTCACTTACACAGCACTATTTATCTACAATGACTAAAGGTGTAAAGTTCTGAAATGTAAAGCACTAATGGTGTTTGACATGGATCAATAAGCAAAGTTTAGATTCCTAATTTGAAAGATTTACACTAATTTCTGTGACCAGCTTTGACCAACTGGAGATCTTTGAAGCTGGATACTTTTGCTGGAATTTTTTTTTGTGAAGAACTTACTGGATCTGAAAATCAGATCTGAAGCTAGTCATAGTTAGTAGAGAATTTTTCTGATATCTACAATGACATTGTGCTTAGAGTGGAAGCCTTTAATGGCTCCTGAATGCCCTGGAACAAAATATCAAGCAAGAGGTACTTTACTGAAAGATTTTTCATGTAAGTCCCTAAAAGTTTTGCCTGTGTGAAGGTGGACTTTCCACTGGATGACCGTGGTGAAATAGCTAATCTTATAATACAATCAATCTATTTCACCCAGGAAACTTACTATAGTGGAGATAACTATTGTCACAAGCTCACTGTCCCATATGGTCCTTATGGCTCCACTGAAGTACAACAAGATTTGGAGCCTCATTTTATAGTAAGGAAAATAATGAAAATGCTTCAGGTTTAATTGGCTTGTCCCATGAAATTTGGTCCAGATGGCAGAAGTACCACCTGGCTTTGTTTGAGGTAGTCCTGGGAAGCAAACAAAACCTTCTGCACAGTTTGTGCTGGCTTACTGCTTAGTTCCATTTTCAGACGAGGATGAGCAGTTCTTTCAGGTGTGCTCACTGCCAGACCCATCAGGGCTTTCTGACTAAACTCCATGCTGGCATAGTCACTCAAGAGTGGTACTTCTGTGGAAATGGTGTCTTCTTCACTTGTCACTGCTTCTGCAGGGATTTCTTCATGTCTTGGACTCATGTCTATGCTATTGCTAGGTTTTTCTGACTGGCAGGTGTCATGCTTGTTGTCTTCTCCACCATCTGTGGAGAGATCTAGGGTCAGAGGAACCTTTGATTCATGCTCTATGACAAAAAGGCTGGTGGTATCATTGTCTGACAGGGCCTGAAGCAGTGACCTTGAAACGTGTTTCCAATTAGTCTGTGGGAGAAAGCAAGAAAAAAGAATAATATGCTAATTAATCCATTTTAGCTCATTTTTGGTTTTCGAAATATGACTGAAAATACCTAATTTAAAGGACCATCTTGTCTGGTCCCATAGTATTTAATCAGTTTTTCTTGCTTTTATGTTTACTTTACACCAAAAGTAGTGATGATAAAATGTAAGCCTCATGATGTGCTGTTCTGAGAACACAGCTTTCAAAAAATTTAGCAAATATATTACTGTAAAAAGTCAGAAATTTGAACAGCAGCCAGAAAAAATTAAGCTGTCAGCTGCTATGAACAGTTTGTTATTTAACTTCATTCCATGCTGTGATCTGAGTATACCTGGGGTAATAAGTTTTTTGCAAATTCTGGATGGTTAAATGGAGAACAGTTGGTAAAACCAAGTTCCTTATTTTCCTCCTAGATTATTCTGTGTTTGCCATAATGGTTTTTAAATTATGGGCAGGCTGATATAGCTATTAGACATTTTTCTTTCCTTCCCCCCCTGCCTCCCTGTCCCCACCTGCTCTAAATTTTTTTACACTGGGTTTTTTGCAAGAAATAAGTAAGTGTGCATTGTTTTTTATTTTCTTTCTTCTTACAAGCTGTGATCTGACTGAGAAATGAGAATGTTGTTCTTTGAAGTCTCAGGAATACCAAATAAAATCTCTCTCTTTTTCTCTTGTAATGGGATAAGTAGACATCACTACATGGTTAACTTCTGCCTTTTTTTGAATAAAAATCTGTATGATATGAATGTTCATTATCATATCTTTTTATGAAGAGCAGCCCAAATTCCAAAGCTACCAAATCTGAAATAGGTTTTATGTCTATCTGGACTTTAGTAAAGCATATGATACCATTTCCCACAGAATTCTCCTGAATAAATGGGCTGCTCCTGGCTTAGGCAGTTACACTGTTCATTGGGTAAAAAAACTGCCTGGATGGCCAGGCCCAGAGAGTGGTGGTGAGTGGAGTTACATCCAGCTGGTGTTCAGTCACCAGTGCTGTTCCCCAGGGCTCAGTACTGGGGCCAGTCCTGTTTAATACCTTCACCAATGATCTCATGGAGGGCACCCTCAATCAGTTTGCAGGTGACACCAAGCTGGGTGGGAGTGCTGATCTGCTGGAGGGCAGGAAGGCTCTGCAGAGGGATCTGGGCAGGCTGGATCATGGCTGAGGCCAATGGTGTGAGGTTCAACAAGGCCCAGTGCTGGGTCCTGCCCTTGGGTCACAACAACCCGAGCAGCTCCACAGGCTGGGGCAGAGTGGCTGGAAAGGACCTGGGGGTGCTGGTGAGAGCAGCTGAACAGGAGCCAGGCTGTGCCCAGGTGGCCAAGAAGGCCATGGCATCCTGGCCTGGATCAGCAATGCTGTGGCCAGCAGGGCCAGGGCAGGGATTGTCCCCCTGTACTGGGCACTGCTGAGGCCACACCTTGAATCCTGTCCAGTGCTGAGCTTGCAGTTTAGGAAGGACTTTGAGGTACTGCACTGTGTCCAGAGGAGGGCAACAGAGCTGTGGAAGGGTCTGGAGCACAAGTCCAATGGGGAGCTGGAAGTGCTCAGCCTGGAAAAAAGGAGTCTCAGGGGGAACCTTATCACTCCCTACAATTGCCTGAAAGGAGGATGTAGCCAGGTGGAGGTTGGTCTCTTTGCCTACGTAAGAAATGAAAGAATGAGAGGAAATGGCCTCAAGTTGTACCAGGAAAGGTTTAGATTGGATATTAGGAAGAATTTCTTGTCTAAAAGGGTGGTTAGGCTGTCCAGGGATGTGGTGGATTCACCATCCCTGAAAGTGTTTGGAAAAAGTCTTCCTGTGTCAGTTGGAGACATGGATCATTGGTGAACTGGTTAATGGTTAGACTTAATGATCATGGAGGTCTTTTCTAAACAACATAGCAATGCTAGGATTCTGTCTGAAAGAGGCAATAGGGAAAGAAGAAGAAGCATCTTTGAAGAATCTTGGCTATGTATTATAGTAGAAGAAATGTATTTAAATATCTGTATAGAAGCTTTGCTTCAGAAGTCTCAGTTATCTTTGATGGGCTGCAGCTGCGATGTCTTTAATTGGGCTGCAGCTAATGAACTAATGAGCTAATGAACTAATGAGCTAATGTAACCAATGAAGATGACTGGGATAAAAGGGGGCGGGATAGCCAGTCAGGGAGAGCTTTAGAAGAGCTTTGACTTGAGAGAGAACACCATGCAGCAGAAAGAGTTAGTGAAGATCTGCAGGTATGAGAATACACCAGAGAGGTATAGACTTTAGAAGTCTGAGAATATCATTATGAGACTCTAGAGAAATATTAGAACAACAACAATAGGTGACCCCGACGTGATAGTTAGCAAAAGATAAGCCAGCCAAGAGCTGTGGCAGCCAAGAGCTGCGACAGAACATAGCCTTTGAGTCAAAGAGCTCTGAAAGAGTATGGCCTTTGAACAAAGAGCTGTGTAAGTTATACATAGCCTGTGAGTCATGAGAAAATATGAGTGTTGTACCTAGCCTGTAAGTCATAGAAAAATGTATGTATTGTAATTGAACATCTGTACAACTGTTAACTTAAGTAAAAGAAAAGGGGGGGAATATAGTAGAAGAAATGTATTTAAATATCTGTATAGAGGCTTTGCCCCAGAGGTCCCGGTTGCCCTTGATGGGCTGCAGCTGCGATGTCCTTAATTGGGCTGCAGCTGTGACCAATGAAGATGACTGGGATAAAAAGGGGGTGGGTAAGCCAGTCAGGGTGAGCCTTGAAGGAGCTCTGACCTGAGAGAGAACAGCATGCAGCAGAAAGAGTCAGTGAAGATCTGCAGCCATGAGAATACACCAGAGAGGTATAGACTTTAGAAGTCTGAGAATATCATTATGAGACTCTAGAGAAATAATAGAACAACAACAATGTACAAAGAACAGGAGACTGGTTTGGGTGACTGACTGACATTTTAGTTCCCCACAGTTCATTTTCCTTGTCTCTGTAATGAAAGTGTCTTCAGTTCCTCCTGCTGCTCTGTACCATGGGATGTATGACTGATATTTTGTTAAGTAATCCCAGTAATACTGGACAACAAGTTGTCTTGTTGTCTTTTTTGGATTATTTTTCTATTTTTTGTCAAGAGTTGGTAAGTTGCTCAACTAAACTGGTTCAGTCTTGGAACAACTAGAAATCAAATGAATGTACAGAATATAGTAAGAATGTACAGAATATAGCAAGATTTGCTCCCTGACCCTGTTTTGCCATACCTATTTGGGGAATATCTTTCTCCACAGTTCATTAATTGTTCAGAATACCAAATTAATTCTAGACAATATATCTGATAAACTGTTTATTGTACTGTCTCCTGACATAGTGCTTTTTCTGCTTTCTCCTAAACAGTTATCTGGTATCTGGTATTTTTGTGTCTAACATGTTATCAACATTACAATATTCTCTACCAGGAATGGTTAATACAAACTTCATTTTCTTTGACAGTTGCTTTGCTTCTGCAGGAAAAGTTAAAGGCATTTTTAATTAAGATATTTTGCTTTTATGCATTTTATGTCAAAATGGCGCTGTGGTTCATAAAACCTACTTGTCCTTTCTATAGCATGCAGTCTCAGCGTGTTTCACTTGCATTTCTTCATTGCAAAATGGCTACCTGATGACGAGCTCTGAACTCATCACTTCTTTAGCTGCATTTAGGTGCAAGTGAGGAAGTCCTGATCTGGAATTTGAAAATTCTGTTGCAGGAAGGAATGTTTCAGCAAAACTTCTAATTATCAGCAGACTATCAGGGTCTTCTGAAATATTGTCTCTGATTACTTCACTCTGTATCCCAGTTCTGGACAGTAGATACCTACCTAGCCAATGCCCAAAATTTGATGAGATAGAAGTCTGCTTGTTAAAGCTTGTGAGAGGAACTACTAGATTGTCAAGTGCCACCTTAAGTTCAAGTATTCCAGAAAAAGAGATTTATAAAGGAAAGCAGTAGTAATTCCTGATACAAAGACACAATCATAGGTGGTCTGAGACTTAGGAGATAAACTTATGTGTTCTAAAAGGAGGACTTTTAGTATCAGATGTCACCAAAACTGCTACAGAAATCTTGCTGCAATTGGGTTGCTAAAGTGGGAAGGCAAGAAGGTGAAGATACAAATAAGTCCACTAAAAGGCAAAAGTGGATAATATGGTCTCCAGCAGTTGATTCTAATAGTTGTATTTTTTCCTAACAGCTGATTTTCCTGCTTATTTAGTGCTGAAATTCAGGTATACTTACCAAAATAAAGGGAAAAGCTGTGGGCAAGATGTGAGCATGCTGCTGAACCTTGGTGCCTGTAGGTAAGTAGGTGCTCCTCAGACAGCCACCAGCTGCCAGACAGAGCCCCTGGATTGCTTTGGAGGCAAGCTGACGAGCAGACTTCAGAAAAGACCATGTTACATGGCCTCCCTCATTAGACTTCTCTGGAATTAGGCCACAATTCACTACTTTGTATTTTGAACAACTTGTACTTAATAATCAGTTTGAGTTGGTGAAAACTGACTGGTTAATGGTTAGACTTCATGGCACTTCATTTTATGGTAAGGAAAATAATGAAGATGCTTCAGGTTTAATTGGCTTGTCCCATGAAATTTGGTCCAGATGGCCAAAAAATCTCTGAATTTCTCTCTTTAGACTCCATCTACCTCAATTCGGCTTTGATTTGCTCTTTTAAGGATCGTGTCTTTAAAAATGCTTTACAATGTACTCAAAAAAGTCTGAGACCTTTATTAAATTTTAAACTGTATATGGTCTATGCCTAAATAGAAACTATCCCCATCCTATATTTTGAATATTACTCTGGCTTCCAACCAGCTGATATTAGACATTTTCTTGAGTAAAGTGTGAAAGGACAGATAACTAGCACTATAGATTAATCAAAGATCTCACCTGTGTATTTTTTTTAAGCTGTCAGAAGAGTACTCACCATATCTTGGAGTGCAGTGCTGTTTCCTGGGGTGGGTACACTGCGCCAATATGATATTTTCAGCCTGTAAGGAAGTATTTTACATTTAACATCAGGTTAGATGATTGACATTTCCTATGCATTTAAATTAATTATTGTTCATACATAACATATTGACATTTTTGTAACCATAAAAAAGGTGTTCTACAGAGACATGTAAGCATAATGCTAATTAAAAGCTGATGACCAAACTTGGTAGTCTATACTGAAATACTGAGTTAATGATGATTAACATCCTTATTTAATCACAAAGGAGCTGTGAAAGTACTGGCAATGTGGTCTTTTTCTGTACTTTTGATCTATACATCTAATTTATCATTTCCACAAATCCTCCATCTTCCTTGAGGGCTTTGGGATATACAAGACAAAGCTTGATTTAGTAAGTATTTGCTCCTGGGCTTTGATTTAAAACTTCCCTTTCCCCTGAAAACAAAGAGCAAGATGCTGCTGCATTCAGCCCCTGTGCAACAGCGCTGGTAGTCTGGGAGAAGCTCTAAGGAAACACAACTCCTGCTCTTTCCTGATTGTTTTGAGTTTGTCTCTTTCTGGGAGCTATCACATACAGTATCTCACCTCCATAAAAAAGCCTCAACAAAGCTGTAAGAGAGGCTGAGACTTTAAGTAGTCCATCACTCTGCCTTTGTGTTGGCTTCAGTATTTTTCAGTTTTGAAAGTAAAGCTAGACTTCATTAGCTTTAGGATACTTTGCCTCTGCTTAGGCTGTGGTTGAGGTGAAAACTGTGGCTGTAAAGTTAATGAATCTCCTGCTGATCCCGTGAAGATGGGTGTTTGGCTGGCTGGTGACACCTTTCTTACAAATCAAGACGGCAATTGAGATGAGGGCATCACTGGGACCCTTTATCTCAATTCAAATGTTCAATATTACTACAAATGTACAAATTTAACCACTATTTTGTAGTGCTACACTGGGCTCCTGGGTGCTGCCTGGTTGTTTTGTGTTTTGTTTTATTTTTTCCCCTTTCCTCTTTCCTACTGGGCCCAGACAAAGAGGTGTGGTCTCATACTGAACACAACGAAGTTTACTCTAGGTCAAAAGTAGGTAAGTCTCAGAAGTTCCTGCCAAAACTGTTGTATCAGACACAGTGCAACTTAAAATACAAGATGAAAAGGCTGAGTCTGTTTCCCAGTGGCAAGGACAAGAGTTTAAAGCTAAAGCAGGCTATGTCATGCTGTGTGGCTCTCAAGCCACAGGTTGTGCCAACGGTCCTTCAGCCATTGTGCTTTCAGCTTCTGAGGCTGGTGCTTTGTGAAGAAGAGAAAAAGGGAAAGTAGCGTTCTAGGACACCAAATAGTAACAGGAGTGGTTGTACGCAATTAGGTTTGTCAGAAAATTATTATTGGAACCCATTACTATGCAAACCTTTTAGTCATAGTGTATGCGCCTGATATTGTACTTCAGATTATTATGTGGGAGTGAATACTTTATTATTGCAGAAACCAGTTTTTCATAAAATAAGAGGACCATTGCCAGATCTTATAGTCACCCTTATTATTCTCTCTTGTTCCTACTCATTTATTGCTCCTTGTCATTATGTGCTTATATGCATACTTTATAAATTTAATATCCAAATGTGTTTGCAAGAAACATCTTAGATAAAATTTATCAAATGCATGCTTTATCTATATATATGTAGCATATGTCCCAGTGTGAGAAATGGTCCTGTCTCTTTCTAAGAGTGTTTGTGACAGGAGGTAGTCAGATAAAGGAACCAAAATCTAAAGAGTACAGATTTTTTACAAATTTGTTTTACCATTTAAATTACCTTACAGCTTAATTAGCTTAGTGGCCTGTAATTGCTCTCACTGTGAGATTACTGTGGTGGCTTTGGTATTGTGCGTTTTTTGAGTTGTGTTGCCTTTAATGACATAAAAGGCCCAGTGTTATGAAACTCAGAGCTAAGCAAACAAAGAGTGCTGCTAACAACTCCAGCCAATATTCTGTCCTTACCTTTTAATCACCAGGGAACAAGTGAGAGGTGCAAAAACCAGAATGAGTATCATGCTGAAACAAAGACCAATCACAAAACCTTCAAGTTCTCCTTTATCTGATGGGAAACAGAAAGCTTGAATCAGATTTATGGTCTTAAGTACAGAATGACCTTATTAACTTCATGAGAGAAATATTTCAAACAGAAGTCAAAGCCAACTTTACACATTGCTCTGGAATTTAAGTAAAATATAGTTAAAACTAAAGCTGGTGTTTTCAGGGGTGTGTGGGCTTTTCAGGATTGTATTTTTATGATATCTACATATTACAGAATAGTTGGGATTGGAAGGGGTCTCTGAAGCTCATCTATTCTAATCCCCTGCTAGCAGGTTCACCTAAAGCAGGTGAGACAGGATTGCATCCAGGCAGATTTCGAGTATCTCTAGGGAAGAAGACTCCCCAGCCCCTCCGGGCAATATGTTCGTGTACTCTATCACCCTCACAGTAAAGAAGTTCTTCATCATGTTCAGGTGGAAATTCCTGTGTTTCAGTTTACGCTCATTGCCTCTTGTTGTGTCATTGGGCACCAGAGAAAAGGGCCTGGCCCCATTTTCCTAACACTTGGCCTCAGGGTATTTGTATATATTGATAAGGTCCCCTCTCTGTTGCCTCTTCTCCCTGGTAAAAAGGCCCAGCTCTCCCTGCCTTTCCTCACTAGTAAGGTGTTCCAGTTCCCTAAACACCTTTGCAACTCTCCACTGGACCCACTCCAGGAGCTCCATGTCTCTGCTGTCCTGAGGAGCCCAGAACTGGACACAGCACTCCAGGTGAGGCCTCACCAGGGCTGAGTACAGGGGCAGGATCACCTTCCATGACCTGCTGGCAATGCTCTTCCCAATGCCCCCAGGATACCATTGGCCTTCTTGGCCACCAGGACACGCTGCTGGCTCATGGAAGCTTCTTGTCCACCAGGACCCCCAGGTCCTTCTCCACAGAGCTGCTCCCCAGCAGGGCAGCCCCAGCCTGTGCTGGTGCCTGGGGCTGTTCCTCCTCAGGTGCAGGACCCTGCACTTGCCCTTGCTGAATTTCAGATGGTTCTTTGTCCATCTTTCCAACCTGCCAAGTGGTTTTTTTCCTCCCCATGCTGTTATGTGAGCTCTAACTTGTTTAACAGGTTAGGACCCTCATGCACATCTGACATAATAAGAAACTATTTAAATGACAGTAGCTTTTTATTGATTTCAGGATTTACTAGTAGTGTTTGGGGTTTTTGGTTAGTTGGTTTTGGTTTTTGTTTTCTGGGGATTTTGTCTGTTTGTTTGGTTTTTTTTTATTTGATTGGGCTTTATTTTGTTTTAGGGTTGTTTTGAGAGGTCATGCCTGGTCCTGATAGCAATAACACAGCTTGTGTATTTAGATAGTGTCCATGCTTTAACTTTTAAGATCATTAAGACCACTTTATCTGTAATCAGTCATTTGCCAATCCTTGAAGCAAACCTGTGTCTCTTATTGCCCTTCAATACTTGCTTGAGATATTTTCTACCAAGATCCCACCTACCTACAGAGGAGAAAGTGTTTGAGAGGTTAATGAAGGTTGATAAAATGCTCAGGCTAACACAGGAACCAAAACTGACTGTGATGTTAAGAGTGGGTCAGTGTAGAGATCTTTGTTAGAGATTGTTGATGCCTCCTTCATTATAGGAGACATCAAAGTTTAAAAAAAGTGTTTGTAGAGTGTGGTCAGTTCATGATTGTGTTACTGATACTGACAAACCATATTTGCAAAAAAAAAAAAAAAAAGCCACCTCCTTCACCTCCTTTTTCTTTTCTTACCCATCCCCCAACAATAGTTTTTTGGGGTTTTTTTTTTTGTTTTTTTTTTTTTACCAAACAGCTACCTAAAGTTCAAAACTAATTTGGAAAGCTGCAAATTGCTTTGTTGCTGAAATTTGTTCTTTATAGCAAAGAAACCTGAGATACTTCTAATGGATTAAACCTGTGAAATGTTTGGGAAGAGCAAAAATAGTAAATGTAATGTTTAAATTCAGTGTAATTACTTAATTACTTGATTTTTTTAAATGTCGTGTTAATTTCACTCTGCATTTTTGTTACTTCACGGAAAAATTGAATACTTTCCAAATATATATTTCGTAGGATGAGTGAAATAGAGTCCTGAAGAAAAGCTCTAGGGAGAGGCTTTAATATTTTGTGTTGAGGAGAAAGTTTTCAGTGGGGGGAGGAGGGGTCCAAATCCTGTTGATTTCAAGGAAGATTTTGAATTTATTTTTTATCTCTTTACATTTTTGACTATTTATTTGTATGGTTTTATATTTCTTTCACTCAACACAAAAAACTACTCTGGGGAGAAACCATTTGCATACTTCTGTTTCTGAATATCACAGGTTCCTGATACCATCTTAGCATGTTCTTTTATTTTTCTATTTAGAAATCTCCATTAAGGGAAGCTGTGGTAAAACAAAAAAAGTCTGTTGCAGCATTAGTTTTACTTTAACTGAGGAGGTGTTAAAAATGTTTGAAAGACTCAGTTTAGCCAACCTTATATGATTCAAAGGTTTTTAGACTTTTTAAATGTAACTGTATTTGTCTTAACCTATCCAGGCACTTCTGAGAAAAGTAAACTTTGCCAGTGACCTAAAGGACCTGTTACTTAGAATGTACTTAAATTATAAGAAAGCAAAAGATATTTTGGTTAGTGTTCACCCACACTAGGAGCAATTGAAAGGTATTTAATCTTTTATTTTTGCAGTTAATGGCTCAGGAAGCCAACTTTACATGACTGCTCAGGATTTTGCCAAAAGCAGATGATTGAACATTACTAGTCACAGGTAGAAATTTCATCTGATGAAATCTAGAGAGTAATTGTCAATAAATAAAGATATGTGCACATAGCTAGGACAAAAAGATCAGAAAAAGTTTCAGAGATGAAGAGCCCTAGCTAAGTTCCCTGTATATTAGGTAATAAAATGCAGGTAATATACAGATAGTTAAATACTTTGTTCTATGACACAAATTTTACATCTTGCAGAGGAACAAGTTTTTGTGTTTGTTCTCAGTAACTGAGGATTGATTAATAAACCTTGTGAGTGAACATTGAGAGGACATAAAGCAAAGATTCATGCTGGATAATGCAGATGCATAGGGGTTCCACAGTACCGTATTTTGGAGTGCTGAAAGGCTGTGAAAGAGTCTGAGGTCCTTCTCCAGCATTAGTGAATCCTGAAATCTGCACACGATAGGTGGTCTTTTCCTTCAGTCCGGTAAGATGGTAACTTGTGATAGAAGCGTTGAGAGTAACAGCTGAAACACAAGAGGTTTTAGGAGGAGATGATTAGCTCTCATGGCAGAGCAGGTATCAGTGCAGCTGACTGGGCAAACAGCAAAATTTCAGTGCCCTGATCCTCATCTAGAGGAAACCAGACTGTGCAGGTGCTCTTTAAATGGATACAAGAGTTTCCCAAAATATTTATGTACATTTTAAATCCAGAGGTTAAAAGCATGAGATTTTGACACTCCAAGGCTGTATTGGGTTTGTATGGCCAAGTTTTGGTGGCAGGGGTGCTACGGGAGTGGCTTCTGTGAGAAGCTGCCAGAAGCTTCCCATGTCCAACAGAGCCAATCCCAGCTGGCCCAGGATGGAGATGCCCCTGGCCAAGGCTGAGCCAATTAGAAATGGCTCTGTGATAACAGATTTAAGAAGGAAAAAAAAGTTACTCTGCAAATGTAATTGCAGCCAGAGAAGAGTAGAGTGACAATATGTGAGAGGCACAGCCCTGCAGACACCAAGGTTGGTGAAGGAGGGACAGGAGGTGCTCCAAGCACCAGAGCTGAGGTTCCCCTGCAGCTGTGGTGAGACCATGGTGAGGCAGCTGTGCCCCTGCAGCCATGGAGGTCCCAGGGGATGCAGAGATCCACCTGCAGCCCCTGGAGGAGACCCAGGCCAGAGCAGGTGGATGCCTGAGACAAGGCTGTGACCCTGTGGGAGGCCTGGGCTGGAGCAGGTGCTGGCAGGGACCTCCAGACCCATGGAGAGAGGAGCCCATGCTGGAGCAGGGTCCTGATCAAGGGACTTGTGATCTTGTGGGGGGACCCGCACTGGAGCAGACTGTGCCTGAAGGACTTAATCCTGTAGGAAGTAAACAGTGTGGATGCTGTAGCAGTTAGTGAAGAATGGTAACCCATGGGATGGACTCATGCTGGAGAAGTTAATGGGAGAGCTGTCTCCCATGGGAGGCGATTCATGCCAGAGCAGGAGAAGGACTCTTCTCCCTGAGCAATGGCAGAAACAATCTGTGATGAACTGACTGTAACTCTCCTTGTGTCTCCCTGGTGGGGAAGAGCTGAAGCTGAGAAGAAGGGAGTGGTGGAGAAAGGTGTTTTAAAGATTTGTTTTACTTGTCATTATCCTACTCTGAATTTCATCAGCAATAAATTCCATTAATTTCCCCAAGTCAAGTCTGTTTTGCTCATGTGGTAATGTGTGATCTCTCCTAGTCCTTATCTCAACCTGTGAATGTTTTGTTACATTTTCTCTCCCCTGTCCACCTGCAGAGGGGATAGAGTGGCTCTGGCTTCCAGTGGCTCTGGCATCCAACCAGGGTCAAACCATCATAGGTGATGAACACAGAAGGCTGCTTATACTTCATGAGAGGAAAATACATCTAACATGCTGAACAGTTTTTCTTATGTGACTGTAAGAGTTAACATTGGGACTAGCCCTCATCACATACTTTACTCTCACTCCAGTTGTTAGTAGTGGTTTATCTTGATTTATGTCAGTGCTATTACTCATCATTCAGTACAGAAACAGGACTGTGCTTTCTGCTTTACCTGCTTTATGGAGCTTTCAGCTAAACCTGCCTTTTCTGATGGTTCAGTGACTTTTCCCTTGGCCAGAATAATGTACAAACTGACATGTTGTAAGGATGCCTTTGGGACAGAAATTTCTCCTCAAGTTTGCCACTCTGTATTTAAAATCTTCACAGAAGGGGATGTGATGCTGTAACCTATGGACTTCCTTCCCCCTAATTCTCCAGTAAAATTATACTTTCTGCCTGGAAAAAATGGCAATTGGATGCCATGTCACTGCTGTCTTGACTGGTTAAGATAGAGAAAAAAAATAAATTAAGTTCAGCCCTGGATGTTCCCATTCTGCCTGCTCTTGTGATTTCAGATAGGTATTTGAAGTGGAATAGAATCACCAGAAGACCTTTTATGATTCTCTAAAGGCATAGGTCAACATGCATTATAGAACTTTTACTATCTCCCTTTGTCAGCTCTTACTTGATATTTGTCTTCCTTAGCATGTCTTCAATTTTATTTGAAAGCCAGTACATACCAAGTTAATGTATAATTACTTATGGCAAAGAGACTTTCCTCTCTAGACCAGAAAGAAAATGTTTATCAAAAGAATATGGGGATTTTTTAAAATTGAAAACTCAAGTGGTTTGAATTCACAGCTATTCATTTATTCATATGTGTAGAAATTTCATCATTTGTAGTTTGTTAAGATTGGAAAAGATCTCTAAGGTTATACAAACTTAGTAATAAAAACTACCAATATAATAAAATGTTTCCAAAATTAAATTTATAATGGTGTATTTGGAAACAGATAAGAAATACAAACTGCTAATTGAGTTGAAAAATGAAATATAGAATGTCTTACATCTTAAAGAAAGGCTCTGAATCAAGCTTGGATGAGGTGCTATGAAACATAAGTCATTTGCTTGCATCACATAACATTCATTTGTGACTGAAATCGTAATAATGAAAATGTATGTCTTCCTTTAAGTGCTCCTAGAGAATTCTGCTTTAGTCTTAGAAATGTAATTTTTAAGGAAATAGCAATATTTAATTTGAGATAAAAACTAGAAAATTCTAAGTGTTCATGGGAACATCTAGAGCATTAAGAGTCTAACCAGGAGCTGACCTTTGAGAGCAGAGCACTCAATTTGCACAGAAACCATAAATAACTCAGTAGACTCAATGGTCTGAATGAAGCTCTCCTTTCATGACCCTGAGCTGCTGCTTTGTTCTGGCAGTGGTGACTTACCTGGAGACTTTTTCCTTGATGAATCTGTGTAACTGATCCTGTATCCCTGGAGAAAGCCCAAACGGTCTTCTGCAGGTATTTCAGTCCACTTCACAAGTGCAGAATGCTTTGTGATATTCAGAATTGTCACATTAGTGGGACCAGTCCTAGGAACTTGAAAAAAACAGATGTTTGAGTTCTGCATCAATACCTGTGCAATGGACATACAAGACTGAATCCTGGCTGTTTCCAAGATAGTTCTTGTCAAATTCTAGATGCTATAAATGCAATGTAAAGGGTGCAAGAGAAAGGCAAAGTCCCAGATAGTAAAAACCTCTCACCTTAAACAATACCTAAGTAGGTAGAAATTGTGACTCTCTCATGAATATTTTACTCCAATAGCAACAACTTTCATTTCAACTTGCAATATGAGACACTATGAAATTGGGATTGGAAAATCTGCTTGAATTTGAATTTGAGCCACATGGGTCTGAGCCCATCTTTCTGTTATTTTTGGTAATGTCATACATAATAAAAATATTTCTGTGGATGTGTCAGTAAGGTACAGCATTCAGGTTGTTCACTGCCAGGACATGACTGCTAAGAATAAAGGCAATGCTAACTGGAGAAAGCTGTTCACTCATCTGGAAAAGAAATCTTGTGTAGTCTTTTTTTTTACTGCTACAAATAGGAAACAAGAAGAAATATAGAGGGGTGGGGTTACACAAAGGGGAAGAATACCTCCTTCAACGAAGTAAAAGTGAGTCACTCCAAAAGTCTTTTCATGTCTTATGAAACTTTCACACTGACACACATCAGATGCATGTACCATTATTTTGTACAACTTATATGGCTGAAAATTGTCTGGAAAACAAATAAAGATATGTCAAGGTCTACTGAAAAGTTATAAATAACAAAGAAGAAGAGGAAAATCAACAGCTTCATAGATTTTCTGTATAGTTCTTGCTTTCTGAGACTGATAGCATAGCATAAGAGTATAGTGCTTTCCACTGAGTACAAAATGTGTACATCCTTCTTCAGTGCCTCTAGATGCTTTATGTAAACTATTTCAAAGCCAGAATGGGACTAAATTTGGGTTTTCTTTTAGAAGATGACAGCTATATTTATAGTCTCCCTACAGGAGACTTTAGCTACTGAAGGAGAAATTAGGAACTAAAATGGCTGTAGTTATCTTATTTCCCACTCAGCTAGAATACATAAACCCAAGGAAAAAACCTAGATGTAGTGTGGCACTACCGAGGTTGCAGAAGGACGAAGGTAAACAGTGCACTCTAGATGACTTTGTAGAACTCTGAAGCTAAATGTTCTCTATTGTACATAAAAACCAGTGCTGAATGGCCTTTGCAAGAGTTACCTATGTGATTTCAATCAACATTTTCAAAGTCTGTTCCGTATAGAAATCCCTGACTGAAGCCCATCATGTCTAGCATGGTAAGCAGAATACTGGAGTTGAGAATTTAGGCTTTGACAAGTATAGACACTGGTATAAAAACAGAAATTAACCTTAGGGAGTCTGTAACAGAGCAGTTTATATTGAAAGATAAGCTTACCTAGGTACAAGATGAAAGGTTTTTTTTAAAGCCAGTAATGTATGGGTCTGCCTGGAATGTAGGCAAGGAGAGACATTGTACCAGTAGCTTAGCTGCATTTCTTGCCCAACAGTATCCAGAAGAACCCTAATTAAAACTTCTTTTTATCTGTCTTAATGTTGCTAGGCATTAACTGATGACTCAGTTCTGGACAATTATTAAGAGCAGTACTTATCTGGATGGATCTTCAGTTTGCCCTTAAAAACAGAATCCTACTCTGCCCAACCGAAAATAACCAAGAAATGAAAGGGTGCTTCCATAGGAGATGTGGTGGTTGCTGTTACCTAATGTGAAATTTCCAGTAGCCGTAGTTATTATTTTCATGTGCATATTCTCTTTACTAGTGCCCCAGTCAACCACAAAACATTTTGGTTTGTATTCTGGAGTCCATGTGACAACTGCATTTGTTCCCTGGCTTTTGACATGTATTTGACCAGGCAAGTCTGTGAACAAACACACAATTAAAGGTCAATAAACAGGAAAACAGTTTTCTCCCCTATTGTTTTTTCTTTCTCCCTTTTGCTCTGTTTTTTAAAGATTATTCATTAAGCAAATATAGCAACATAGCAAATGACTCACTTATCATAGTAAGGTTTACAATAGTATTTCAATAGAAGAAACTTAGCATTTACTACTTTACTGTGGTAGCTGGGAATTGCAATGGCAACCTGCCATTTTGAGGTAAGAAGTAGACCTTGTGAAAGACATAAACATTCTCCATTTTTTCTCCTGTTTGGAAACGAATACAACTACTTTACTACTTTGCTGTGGTAGCTGGGAATTACAGTGTGGATTGCTGTACAAGAGTTTTCCTGATTTCTGATTGCTTGAAATTAAGTGGTTGCTGCAAGGCTCAGGAGAAAGATGTCAGGTGCTGCTAAATAAGCTCCTGTGAGCCACTAGCAGCTGCTACACGTGGAGTAACTCTGAGATAGTGCTTGCCTGAGCAGGGGTGAAGGAGAAGGAGCTAATGATAGATCATAGCTAGATAATTTCATATTTCATACGTTTTGAATTTTCTGAAAGGATCTTGAAGATTTTGACATTTTTAAAGACAGGCTACCAAACTAGGAAAGACCTTCTGACTGACACTAAGGAGAGAAAAGGGCAACCTGCTATTTTGAGGTAAGAAGTAGACCTTGTGAAAGACATAAACATTCTCCATTTTTTCTCCTGTTTGGAAACGAATACAAGAAAGGCAAATTAATTGTGAGGGAGCTGTGGTTGTCTGAGGGAGCTGGGGCTGTCTAAGATGGTTGGGATTGTTTATCCTGGAGAAAAGGAGGCTCAGGGGAGACTTTATGACTCTCTACAACTGTCTGAAAGGAGGATCTAGCAGGATCAGTCTCTTCTCCCAAGCAATGAGCCATGGGACAAGAGACATAGTCTTCAGCTGTGCCAGGGGAGGTTTAGGCTCAACATTAGAAGGAGTTTCTTCACAGAAAGAGAGTTTGGGCACTGGAATGGGCTGTGCAGGGTCGTGGTAGAGTCACTGTCCCTGGAGATGTTTAAGCAAAGAGTGGATGATGTGTCACTTTAGTTCCATAGTTGAGTCAACAGGGTAATGTTAGGCTGTAAGTTGGACTCAATGATTTCAGAGGTCTTTTCCAAAATAGTTGATTCTGTCATTCTGTAAAGAAAATTACTGTACTAGCTGACAAAAAGTTGTGTATACCGAGAAGGAATTTATCTTAAGAATGCACTTAATGCAAGCATCCTCTCAGTAATTAATGATAGATACAGAGAAGCTGCACTAAAATGAAAACAGAACAGGCATCTGGAGAGAGCCACAAAATGCAGGCTCAGAGGTTCACTAGACAACTAGTTGTCAGTCACAAGGTGGCTTGAAGTGGTAGGATATATTTTATCAGAAGAGAGCTAAGGGACTGAAATGTAAGGGCAAAATCAATTTGTTACCTCTTTGCAAGGAAAAGGAGAACAACATGAGGGGAGTGTTAGAAAATTCTGGATAAGCAATCATTTGCAGCTACCAGAAGATCAATAAGGATACTTGCACACTTCTTTATTGTGAATGTTATGGCTAAATTTAAAAAATCTTACTTCGTAAGAAAGGTTCTCCTTATACTGCAATAAGTACATCTCAAAACTGTAACACATGAAAATTAGTTTATATTATAAGGAAGACATTATACAGTAAGTTTGATTCTTTAAATGAAAAGAATGTCTATTAAGGCCTCAGAAAAGCTTACATCTTCATTAGAATGTGACATGTACATGCCAATGTGACAGGTACATCCTATCTATTCTTTTCCTATGTGCCAGTTAGAGTAATACTGAAATAAAGGACAGTAGCAGGTGTCTTAATAGTTATTTAGCTCAAGAACTTAGACTTGCACATAGTTCTGTGAACTTTTTAAACCACTGGCACCTACTTGATATTGAGGACAATCCATAATACATTTTTCCAAGTAAAATTCACCATTTTCCTAAGTAGATCCAACACATGGTACTTCCTCTAGCTTCACCAACAAAGAAGTGCTAAAATGAATATTAAATTGCTAGTCTGCTAACTTCTACTGAAGTATCTTAAGAAACAATTCTGACTCCTAGTATGTAAAAATATTAGCTAATATATATTCAAGAGAATGCTTTCACCTATCCCAAAGTCTGTGAAAACATATCCTTAGAGGTTGATCATAAAACTTCCCCATCACTATGGTGAATAAGGTAAATACCTGTTACAGGGAATTCTGGGACAATGTAGATAGCTCGTGGAGATTCTCCTGCTTCATTATAGGCAGAAATATTAAGTCTATAGTAAGCCATGGAGAGATTAACAAGAATTTTTCTGTCTTTGAGAGAGATGTGATTTGGTGGTTGGCTGCAGCTGTTGGGTATTCTTTCCACATTAACAAAATAGCCAAGGACATTCTCACTTTGTGCTACCTAGCAAGAGGAAAAACATTATTATTCTATAAATGCTGTTATGTCCTGTGCAGAAAATCAAGAGGAATTTAATTTTATAAACAAAATGTAGCCTTTAATGATGGGGATAAAATCATACTGTTTTAATTAGGTCATTAGGAATCAATAAAGCAAAGCATTTCCTTAAAATTAAGAGCATGCTTAAATTGAGAGGATTTAAGTACATGATTAAGAATTTTCCTTAATTGAGATCTTAGTTATGTGTATGCAATTAGTAATAACAGCAGTGAAGCAACTGTAACATTCTCAACATTTCAGTGCAACATATCCCTCATTTTCAGGAACTTGAAAGTTAATGAGAGGTGTTTAATTGAAATTTATGCCTCTGGATATCCTCATCTTCTAGGGCTTGATTAGGTATGTAGTATCTTTAAAGACAAATGCTAGCAATTATGCTGCAAATTTGGAATGTGTTAAATATCCATTGGTAGCAATTCTTGGTGGTGGTTCACTCATTATTTTACTGTACTAATCTTAATAAGAGATTGGAAAATGAGTGCACAGAAATGGAAATTACTGCAATATAGAGAGAAACTTAATACATGAAGGCCTGTGAATGCTTCAAGGATTATTTCTAAAATCAAGATTGTCTGTTATTTCTGGCACAAAATTAATAGTGTGTAGATACCATGAAGCCCTAAGGCTGGGTTATCTTAATGAAATAATTGGATACTTTTGGAGTAACATAGACAGGAAGACATTTACTATTTTAAAAGGCAGGTACACATATCTCATGAGGAATTTCAGATGAAGATGGAAGCTCTTAAAATAAAAACTTGTTTTTTTCCCTGGAAAAGAAGGGAAGTTTTAGTAATTTTTCAAGAATATAAATTGATATAATTTTTCCCTGTTAGTTTCTAGCTCATAAATCATCAGCATACAGATGCAATGAATTCTGCAATAAGTATACAATATCCAATGCCTTTTGCCTATCAAGTGTAGACTCAATACAATGAGAAAGTCTGTTTTTCCCTGCAATGCAAGAAATAAATAGCATATACATAACAGAAGGTACCTAGACTGGAAGTGAACCTTACCTCCCACGTGAGGAGAACACTTCTTCTGCCTGGAGAGACTTGTGTAGTTACATTATGTGATATTCTTGGCTTGTTCATGAGTTCTGGTAAACATGGAAAAAGATGGAGACATGCACTCAAATGAATAATTCTGATGTTCATATTTTCAAGAGTATCTGAAAATCCTATTCCATATGACACAAAATTTGGAAAAGCCTTTACATTCATACTTACTACCAGTAGGATGAAACTATATGTCACTTACTGTGAGGGACCAAAATCTCCTTGCCCCAAATGCAAACACAGTTGAGACCATCCTTGGTTATGCATCTGAGCTGAACAATGTATGAAGACATAGCATTTAAATTTGAAATGGTGACATTGGAAACATTGCTTCCTACAGGCACCTAAAAAAAAATCATTTATGTAACAACAATAAAACATTATCTTATATTAATTGTTTTCTCAGCCTAAGACCAGCCTTCTGACTCAGCTGAAAGTAGAGCTTCCTGTCATCAAATAGGAATTATTGCACATTTTAGTCAAGCTATTTTCATTCTTTCAAGGCAACACCCTCTTTTTCATGAACTTATTCTGCTCACTCAAGACACTAAGTAACCTGGTCTAAATATAACTTTTAAAATCAATTAAACGTTACATATACTGAAAAATAAAAATTTACTTAACTCTGAGCCTTGTTAGCATCCTCAAGAACAAGAAGTCAAGGGAAAACTAAACAATAAAAAAAAGCCCTTATCTTTAAAAGTGTCATTGCGTCTGAATAGATCCACATGGCTGTTGTCTTAAACAGCATGACTGGAGTGAATGTGTGGCTGCCTGTGTGCCTTGCTGCTGCAGAAGAGATTTGCATCTGCAACTCTCTTCTCCAGTGATGGCACTGGAGCCCCAGTAACTGTTCAGGGAATGGAGTTTTTCTTGAAACAAAGAAGCCACCCATGTCTAAGGAAAACCCTGAGCTGAAAAATACAGAGAAAATAAGAGAAAATAGGATAGGAAACTGTTGTTATCACTTAAACTCTTTCCTAAAGCCCCCCAAAACCAACAGAGCCCCACTGTAAGGTGAGCAGCTCTTCTCTTTGAATTTCTGCAGTACTTTATTTTTTAATAAGTTAATTATTTAACTTCTGTAGGAGTGTGCTCACCTCCCTCTCCTCCACTTCCCCTCCATCCTGACCTTTATTTCTTGTAATCCTGATTAAGTGATAACCACTATCAGCAGTCATATTAGATGTGTCTTGACCAGCATCTGACTCAAAGTTGATTCGGGGCAGACAGATAACAACATGAAAGACAAGATAATATGAAAGACTGATTTGAACAGTTCATCCACCTTCTCATAGTGCTGGTTAAGATTCAACTCAAGTCAACATTGGAAGAAGCTAATATTTGAAGAGAGCATGCATGTATGTCTTTAAGTGTCTCATCTTACCCTTTAAATAGGGGATAGCCCACAGCCTGTTGCGCTCTCCTGCACAGCAGTGGGCTGGCTATAAAATGGGATCTCTTGAGTAAGGACAGTAATCTTAACTTCTGAAGATTACTCCTCAAGGATGACAGAGTATTCATCTCACCAGATACTTGATAAGTGAATTGGAAATTAATACACTGAAAAAATAAAATCTCAATTAAATGATACAAAGGATTGATTGTGCACATACAATCCTTTAGATATAAACTGTTGACCAGGTCTGGGACTAAGTCTGAATCCAGAAGCAACTAGACTTGCAGGGGCTCTGAGAATCATTTTAGAATGCAAGGGGAGCCTTCTTTAACTATCATGACCCAATTAAAATGTCTTCCTCACAGTTCTGTCTGACTCTGTTCTCTGTGAAGCAATCAAGTGCTCATTGCCATCTACTCCTGTTAAACCCCTGTCACATTTATTACCAAACTTTGCTAGATTTCTGTTTTATGTCAATAAACATAACTTCTTTCTTATGAGTGAAAGGTATTACTCTTAAATGATGTTGTCCATGACAACTTCATATAATTTTTTGCTAGTCGCAAAAGAATCCCACTACCCACAATATTACAGAAAGACTCCAAACAAGAGGGGAGTGGAATGGATTTAAAACCCAAATGTTAAATTACATTACACATACATTTATCCTACTCTTGATAAACACTAGCTTTTTACATCCTCTATGCATGTATGGCTGTGGCATTCACATTCTCTGAAAAAATCCCTTCACCCAGGATTTTTCTCCTGGGAAGCTGAGAAGCCTCAGAGGAAAGGAAAACAATAATTATCTCATTTGCTTCTCCTGGATGGAATGTGTTTGAAGTTTGTTTACCCACAGGTGATTGCTTCATTCGATTTTGGTGTGAGTTGTTTTGACTCTTTGGCCAATTGGTGCCAAGCTGTGTTGGAACTCTGGAAAGAGTCATGAGTTTTTCGTTATTATCTTTTTAGCATTCAGTAAGTATCCTCTCTATATTGTTTAGTATAGTTTAGTATAGTACTCTTTAATATAATAGTATTACTTTTTATTACCTTAATTTTAATTACTATAATTTATTACTTTACAATACAATAGTATTGTAAAGTAATAAATTAGCCTTCTGAGAACATGGAGTCAGATGCATTATTCCTGCCTTAGTCGGGGCATTCCCTGTAAATACAATATGTGGTCATACTCATTTACTCACCTTCAAGCTTAGCCTATTATATTATTAGGAAGAGATTACAGCCTAAATTCAGAGCATCAGCTGAGACCTGGGAGATCATGAATGTTCATGACCTGTAGTCTTGACTCATTTGTGTCACCCAGTGTGGATGTCTGTACTAGTTCCCCACAGTACTCATGTGAATCTTCCATCTCCCCTGTCTCCAAAACCTGCAGGGCATGCATTTGTACTGCTCTGAACCTTCTGTTCTTCCATGTACCACGTGCCAGACTGTCTGCACCTGGTTGTCTGCCTATTGTGCTACTGGGTGGGCTACGCATGGGTAACTGGCTGCCCTCGGATGGTCTAGGACCTGTATGCAAGTGAACGAGGGGACCTTTCCAAGACCTGAATGTTCTTTGTACTGAGATGAAACATTTCTTTCATGGGCCTCTCAAAGTACCTCTTCTGGAGTGGCTAAATGAACCAGCAGTCAGCTACAAGAGAAATGGGAACTGAACAGTCCTGTAAGAAGACATCTATGCAGCAGTGGAGGAAAGTGCTGGAAATTCTTTTAAATTTAGCACAATAGAGCATGACCTCTATATTCATTGTTAGTGCTTTATTTTGTACACACAGTGCTTAGTACAAATACCAGAGATTAATGTGGCCTTGTGCTACCTCCCTACATCTGTGACTAATAAACTTGTTCCAGTTAATGCTTTCTTGTTTACTTCTATCAGTGATTTAATATGTACTAACTAATATCTCAGTTTTGAGAACAAAGATTGTTTATCAGAGCAAAGAATCATAAGAGAAGTACATTATGACCTGATGACATATTTGAGATAATCCCAAGGAGAAAAGATTCGTCAGAAGATCTGGAACCATATCCAAACAAGTGGAAATAATCAGCATAAATGCACGTTTTCAGGAAACATGAAAATACAATAGATTCAGGAATATAACCTGGTCTCTGAGGTTACTGGGCATGTGTGCTTTGAAGAGAATTAGCCATGCATTCAGCACTGCTAATGAAATAATGTTGGCTTCCTAGTCTAACAAATATGATGGAGAGTTTATTTCCCAATTTTCAGGGACAGGGTCCCCAGCACAGGCAGGACATGGACCTGTTGGAATGAATCCAGGGTAGGGCCACCAAATTAGTGGGATGGAGTACCTCTCCTGTGAGGAAAGGCTGAGAGTATTGGGATTGTTCAGTCTAGAAAAGAGAAGGCTTTGGGGCGGCATTATTGTTGCCTTTCAGTACCTCAAGAGAACTTCCAGGAAAGATGGGGCAAGACTATTCAGAAAAGCATGTAGTGACAAGGGGCAATGGGTGTAGACTGAAAGAGAGTAGGTTTAGATTAGGTATTAGGAAGAAGTTCTTCACTGTGAGGGTGGTGAGGCACTGGAACAGGGAAGTTGTGGATGCTCCATCTCTGGAAGTGTTCAAGGCCAGTTTGCATGGGGCATCCTGGTCTACTAGAGTGTGGCCCTGCACATGGCAGGGCTGGTTGGAACCTTCCAACCCAAACCATCCTATGACTGTATTACAGGGAAATTATTTCTCTTCTTTTCAAAGAAGAAAATCTGGAATACTTAAACTAACCAAAAGTATGTAAAGTATGAATTATTACCTTAAAAAACAAAGTGACCTGATCTCTAATCTGTTTGAAAATGTAATGATACCAGCTAAAAGAGCAATATTGTAAATCACTGAAAGTATGATTTGGGTCTGTGTTTACATGGCATTTCTGATACTCAGCTTTTGCATCACTGGAAATTGTAGTGTCTCACTGGTAGGTTAATGAACCAGATAACATGCTATTCTATTTTACTTTGGTTAAAGCTACTATTCCTTCTTTCCCAAACATTTCATGATTTGTTAGAACCAAACTAAGGTGCCTTAGTGGGATCTGTCTACAAAATGACTCCTTGCTATGCCACCTTGCAATCCTTGTGCTGCATATAATATGTGCAGCTGAGCTGACATTGGAGCACCTTGTATTCTCATGAGATTGTCATCTGGAAGTACTCACCACTGTCCATGGAGCAGATTCTGTGAGTGCCTCTCTGTATCTCAGCTCATATGGTGTATGAGCTGTGGGCAGGTCCCACTTTATTATCAATTGGTTTGTGATCTGATAAGCATTTATGTTAGATGGTGACAAGCACTTTCCTAAAATGGGGGAGATACAGTTGTTTAAAACACAAGAGAAGCAGGAAAGCTTTGGTAATTACATCTGTTGAGTGTGGTCTATAAAAGTTAAAAGACTTGGCACACAATAGTGAATGCTGTGAGACTTCAAAACACCATGGAAATGAATTACTAAATCTTTATGACATCAACAAAATACAGTTGTTCCTTTTGCCTTTCTTTTGTGAATGCTTCTACTGATTTCAGGAACACTCTTTTTCTAAGCAGTTACTATCCTGAGTGAGGCTGAAAGGCAAAATCAAAATGTCAAGAGTACCTGTAATCATGAGTTGTATAAAAAATATCCAGAATATCTTTACATTTCAGTAAGTGCAAATATACTTTCATCTTCCTCTCCAATAAACACAATGTGTCCAAAAGTCTTCCATAAAGGTTACACTATTGATAATTTGGGTTGTACTGGTAGTAACTCCCAGCAGAGAAGCATTGGTTTTTCTTGGAGCATGATTAGTCTGAGCATGTGAAGTTTTGAGAAGCTCTTAACATCAGTTCAGTGAACAGATAGGTAGGGAATCTTTAAATAAACATTTAAAGGGCCTAATAAATACAGCTGTTTTTTTCCATATCTTTCTTTTAGCAGTGTGTAATGGGTAAGAGGCCTTAGAAAAGAGTTGAATTTTGAAAAGGTTTCTCCAAATTCTAATGCCCTATATCAAGGATTCCTTAGGTACACAGTGTTGAGTCAATCTGCTCTTTGTAAACCAATACAAAGAAATTCGGAAAACCATCAAAGAGAGCATAGAAAACTGGTTAAGTATGGTACACAAATATTACTATATATTTTTCTGGATATGGATATTAAATATTCCAGCAAAATATTTAAAGTAAAACCCTCCTCCATTAAAACATCATAGGCTTCTGTTATTAACTTCATTCAAGGAAGTCAAACTGCATCTTAGCTCTCTGAATCAGTAAAAATAACAGGAGTGTTTTGGGAGCTGAAATTTTGGAAATAATCTTTACAGAATACAGCTTTAGCTGGGAACTGCAGTAACACAACTTGTGAAGACACTGTACCTGCTTTGCTTGGTAAAACTGAGATGTTCTTTCCTTTTGCACAGGTGTCATTGGCATAATTCACTGCTATCCAAATGGTTGCAAATCTCTCAATGTAGAGATTCTTTCGTTCTATTGTGATGGAAGGTGATGATGTGTTTCGCTGAAAAAGTTTTCGTATTTTGTTCCTTCAGAGAAAAGGAAGCAGAATGAAAAACATTTTATTGGATTACAGTTATTTTTTCCTCCCTGCCCAAGAAAGCAAAATTATAGCAATTGATAGCTTTCCAGATACTTCTACACATAATTCCACATCTGGAAATCTTGAAGGTTCACCTTGAACAGCAGGATTAATTCATGCACCTCAGTAATCCTAGCAAATTTAAATATGCAAATCCTTGTGTGGTGGAGAACTGTTGAATTCCTTAATCTTTGAAGGCATAGCATGATACAACCAGATCTGCATGACCTTCTTTTGTACTTTCAGTGGGATATACAGAGCATTTTGAAGGTATAAAATTAGGTTAGAAATGACTTCATAAAGCCTCGCCTCATAAAAGGGAAACCCAAATTCCTTTTGAACAGCAAAATTTCCCAGTTACATGAATCTAAATTGCCATAAAGTTATGAAAAGCTTCTTATGAGTTATGTGCCTGTCTTCTGACTTCTGTTCCTGCAAATTGTCAGAGTTTGATGGAGATATTTAAATGTCACCTGAGTCCTCAGCCCTTTAGATTCCTCCTGGTATACCTAATATACACAGCACAGGAAGTCCAAGAGTTTTAATGCCTTACATACAACTTTGCTGCCTACTTTTTTCTTGTCTCTCTCATTTAGTCTCTGCCACACACAGGAAAGATTTTTCCAAGGTTGAAATTGTGCAAGTTCAGTGTTATTAAAGAGAGGACTAGCATACTAATTGCCTAGCTATGCATTTCAAGTATTAAATTACACACATCATGATTCAATATTTAATACCTGAGAAAAACTACTTGAAGGTTTTCCTGTCTTCTGCTTCAGGCTAGTTGTGAATCAGTCATTAAAATTTCAAAGCATGATTGTGAATTCTTGGTTGGAACTTTTCTGTGGGAGTGTTTATCTTTAATCTTTTTCTTCCTGACAACTTAATCACAAGGAGTAAGGACAAGGAACTATTACAGCGTCAAACTGATGTTACATGCAGGATGAGGTGATACCCTCTTCTAGGCAAGGTAGAAGCCTTTTACATGTGGGTTTTTTCTTTCCTTTTAACCCAATAGAGGAGGAGATAGTAAGTTTGTCTTCAAGACCACCGGGTGGAAACTTAGGAGACTGAGGTTAAAGTCCTGACTCTGACTTGGAAACATCACCACGTCTGCCAGGGAATTGTCTCCCTCTTCCCCCACTGATATCTTCTTTCATTCTTTTATCTGCCTTGTCTGTTCATGACATCAACCCTGCAGCCTGGGAACAGCACAGTCTGGTTTTGGCTTATGACTTTGAGAGCAAGTAGCTTAAAAATATTTCAACTGATAACATCTCTTCAGAAACAGAGCTGTTTCATAGATGTTTCTGTCCTTCCAAAAAATTGGTATTCCTTGAAGTTACAAGAGGCAAGACAGCCATGCAGTAGAATTTGGAGCTTATTGCAAATTGGTGTCTGCTGCTACCTCCAGTGAGAAAATATCGAAGGTGATGGGGAGAGTAATCTCAGCCTTGAGGTGGTTGCTTTGCTCCTGTGCAATGTGAAGATGATCATCCTGGGGAATTTCCCAGAGTGGTGACATTTTCTTAGCTTTAGGAGGTGTTTCTAACCACAGCTCATTTTTAATGACAAGGAGTGGTTATGTGGCCAAACAATCAGCAATGAATATCAGAATTTACCAATGGTATACAGTGTTGTACTCCATGTACCCCATGATAGGGTCTCATGGCAAAGATCATGTCTTCTGATCTCACGTTTCTATTTCTGAACATGCCCCTAATCTCATGGGAGATTCCAAATATCTAGATATAAAATGAGGAAATTCAATTTTGTAATGCAGCTGTAACTGACGATACTGTATTTGAGGTAATCAGTCCAAAATTAACCCTACAAGTTCATTCCATCTGTTAAACCACTACTTGATAATTCAGAATTACCAGAAAGTATGCTACATTTGACATCTCCTTGGGTACATGGTATAGCAAAATAAATAATACATAAAATAAAAGTTTAGTGTCTGTTTATGTTTGAATATTTTGTTTTATTTTTTTTTTACCTTAAATATATCTATGTTGAATAGTCAGTAAAAGTCAATAGCTGCAAATAAAGCTAATTGAGTAAGCAGATCTTTGGCAATAATGATTTAAAGAGTGTGTTGGAGGCATGGTAAGATGTATAATGACTTTGTATTGGGTTTGCATAACAAGGTTTTGGGAGCAGGGAGCAGATTGCTACAGAGGTGGCCTCCATGAGTAGCTGCAATAATCTTTCCCCATGAACAACAAAGCCAGGTCTAGCTGACTTCAGGACAGACCTGCTGCTGGCCAAGGCTGAGGCCATCATCCATGGTGGTAGCGCCTCTGGGATAATGCATTTAAAAGAGGGAAAAAACTGCTGCCCAACAGCAGCTGGCAGAGAGGAATGAGAGCAAGTGGGAGCAGCAGAGAGCAGCCCACACTACCCTCTGCTGTGTGAAGGGCTGGCACCCCATGGAAGGGACCTTCACTGGAGCAGTTAATGCAGAAATGCAGCTCCATGGGAAGCACTCGTGTTGGAGGAATTAATGATGGACTGTGGGAGTTCATGTCTCCTGTGGGAGGATGCCCATGCTGCACCAGAGGAAGAGTCAGAAGAGAAAAGAAGTGACAGACACAGCATGTGATGGACTGTCCACAATCCCATTCCCATCCCCCCACAATGCTGGGGTGGAGGAGGCAGAAAATTCAATTAAGCCCAGTAAGAAGAAAAGAATGGGGGTGGGGGGGCAGAGAAGGGGAGGGTGTTCCAAGTTTTAGCTATATTTCTCATTACTCTACTCTGATTTGAATGTTAATAAATTTAATTCATTTTCCAGGTCAGGTCTGTTTTGCCCATGACAGTAATCGCTGAGATCTCTTCCTGTTCTTGTCTCAGCCCATGATCCTTTGTCATATTTTCTCTCCCCTGTTGGGCTGAGGAGGGGAGGAATAGAACAGCTTTTGTGATGTCTAGCCAGAATTAACCTACCACTCTCTAACCAAGCTCTTATAAATCAATAGGTATTGATGAGAAGTGATGAATGATATCGACTAGCTTTGTGTAACAACCTCTAAAGTGATGAAATACACTGGAACAAAACTCTGGCAAATGGGAACCACATCTAACAGCAATAAGAGCTTTTTGTTTTCTGAGATAACTTTTCAGACTTACCATTTTAGGTATACAGTATAATTAACTGTATTTGCAGCACTAGGTACTGGCAGCCAGGTGCAGGTTAGATCCTCACTTAATTCTTTGTAACACACCAAGTCATTGTCCCAATCTGAAAGATGAAAACATGTGCTCTGGAAAAGACCCATCACAGGCAACCATTAACTGACTCAAAGGGACTATGAGTAATGAAACCAAATACAAACCAGGCTAGAGTTAGTTGACTAGACCCCAGAATTGCTTCAAAACCATCAATCTCTATCTGAAGTTCAGAACTACACAGTGTTGCTGGATAAAAACAATATTACTTTTAAACTGCCAGCTTTATAAAGAATGTACTATAAAACAGAAGGGGCATAAGATTATGTATAAAATTGCCTGTTATTAATTTTTTAAAGAGAAATATGGGGATTTTTTTGCAACTGAACATACCGTTTTTTCAGTTGATGTGAAAGTAAGCAGTGATGACATTATTAAAGGAACTAATTTTTTGTCTTTAGCGATTAAATTTATGTCGGTATTTCAAAAATCTCTTAAAAAAATGCTAATGACAAAATATGACTGCTGTTCTTTTGCTTTGTGTCTTACTGTCTGAACTATTAATTCAGAAGAATCAGTCATGGTGTCTCAAAGTCCTTTGAAAATGACTCAGATTTTGTTGTTGTTGTTCAGAAAAGTAGACACGGATCTCAATAGGAATGGGATGCTTAAGGTAATTTTTTCCTGATGAGTAGAGTCACACGTCCTCCATACCTGTTAGGTCTAACAAGTTGCCAATAGGCCTATCAATCCTGAATAAAAAATGTTTTGTTATGTGATAAGTAAATATGAATATGTCTGGAGCTGGTGTTGTATCATAGTTATGGTATCTCACAACCTAGGTTGTGAGTTAAAAGATCAGTTCTCTTTTCCTCATTTCTTCCTGCAACCTGAGTTACAAAGTATCCTTGGCATTCTTTTAATCATTGAGATGACAAATGCATTTTGAAGTTAAAAGATGTTTTGGAAAAAGAAGTCAGTCAAATGAGTATAGTGCTGACTTTAATACCCTCACCTCATGACACTTCTTTTCTCATACTAAATGAATAATGCTTTTCTAATAAACTATGCTGCATCAGCTCAGGTGTGTAGAGGTGCCTTTCAGGAAGGTGAAGATCATGTATTCCTTTTTTCATAGCAATGTGAAACATTACAGAATTCTTTGCTTTTCTAGTCTGGCCACCAAACCACATCTTGGCCTCCTCACCCATGAACATAGCATCTGTCAACAGCAGGAGAAACAGCAACAGCTCTCACATTCTTCTCCTGTTTTACTCTGAATTACACCTTAAATTTACTTGGTGTTTATTGTTGTTTTGAAGAAACATCTGAAAACAAAATCTTTTTGGAACTGCTGTAATACTTCATGTCAATATATTGGTAATATACTCCTGACACTATTTGAAATAAGAATTCTATTAACTCAGATCCACACGGTGTCTACCATATTGCAGACCTGTCTCTGCTTATGCAGGAACAGTGGTTGTTCTTCATGGTCTAAGTTTTGCAAAATCCCCCTGGTCTTTCTCTACGAGATTATGGTACTAAAGCAGACAAAGGAAAAATAGTAGATTTTGTGTGTTGAAATAGTGTATTAGCTTGGCTAACACCCCAAAGCATCCTCCCACTACCATACTACCAATATACTGAAGTTCTACCTTGCTTTGTCCAGATGAATATAATGAATGCACACTTTTATTTTCACTTTTCCTGTTTGTGAATATTATGTACATGCACATTAATTTTTATTCTAGTGCTTTCGTTGTTCCACTGTAGTGCTCCACCTTAATAGGTATATTATTAATTCTTCCCAGACCTAGCACAGTACCAGAGCTGTATCTCCAGACTGTGCTCCAAGAGCTATGCAAAGAAAGAAAAAAATTTCTTTGCTCTAAAGAAAACGCAGTTCAGTCTCTCCACTTCACAAAAACTCAAACCAACAAACCACCTACCTTTAATTTTTTTTCACTCTAGAACTTTCTGTTTTTCTTCCTGAGCATCTGGTTTTCTCCCTAATGATTTAGTAGAGCTTAGTCTGGCAAGTTAATTGCAAGGACTGGAAAATTATCCATGGCTAATTTCAGAAGAACATAGTCCTCCTGCAGATGTCTTGCCCAGGGTCACTGTGTTCTCAGGAACCTGTCATCTCTGCTGTGTCTGTTAGCAAGTAGGATGTTCCTGCCCACAATAAATCCAGCACAAAGTACATCAGATGACCACCCACTGCTCCATAATACTCTCTATCAAAATGTGCTGTACTGTTCCTTCCCGCCACCATCAGTAATTTCCCAGTTGAATGGAAAGCAGAGATATCCATCACACATAAACATTAGAACATCCGTGGTACTTTGGAACGGCAGCTATTTGTGATGCGCTGGCTGTGCTTTCACCCACAGCCTGCGGGCTCGCCCGGGCGCCCGGCCCTCACAGACACATCTGCCCGTGCTGCTGTGCCCGGGCTTTCCCTGCGGCAAAGGCGGCCGTGCTTTTAGGGGCGATGCTCCCGAGCGCCCGCGGGAGCCCCCGGGCACCGCCGGAGCCGGGAGCCAGCGGCGTTCCACCCACCTGGCAGCTGTCGGCAGAACGGAGAGTCCCGGGCTGTGCAGCGGCAGGAATCTGGGCAGCACAAGGAGCGGGTTGGGGGGGAAGGAAAAGAAAAACAAAAAAAAAAAAAAGAAGAAAAAGAAATGTTGGTCAAGACAACCGCAAAAGAAAGAGGAAAAATGTCGCTGGTGGTTGCTTCTACCACTAACAGAATTTAATTTGGTCATGATTTTGTTTGTATAGCCTCATCCTTGCGTAGTATTAAGGACTTTTACTGTTCATAAGCGGCAGTAAGCTGTATGGTATATAAAAACTCACCTCTAACAAGTAAAAAGATAGCTGCCAGCAGAGAGTTCTTCATCTTCTCTGTAAAGAAGCATAATGATTACTATCAACATTACGCTGTCTTCAGTCTATTTTCACACTTCCTTTTCAAACTTCCTATTCATTCTAACCTATCCTGCTACTGGCTAAAAAGAAGTAACAAGTTTATCGATGACAATGGGAAGAACACTTGAGTTGTGTTTTATTAGTTATACTTACAAGATCCTAAAAATCCTTCTGGAAAACAGGAACTCTCCACCCTAGTTTTTAAAAGCACTCACAGCGAGATTCTTGAAGGTGTCTGCAGTATCAGCACAGCAAACTGAATTAAGCTTAGGTACTTCTAACTCCTTTGAAAACACCAACTGTCACTGCAAATTAGAGATATTCATATCAGTAAAAAGGAAGTCAAGGTGTTTGACTGAGTCTAATATGAATTCTTGCATACTCTAGAAATAATAGCAGCAGAAGACCTCAATTTGTCTTCACTTTCTGACTTCTCTTATCTTTCAGTGTAATTTCCCTACCTCAAAGATACTGTATCTACATTGCTGGTACCTACACCAGGGCCCTAATACAGATAAAAGTCACCATAGCTGTAAATCAGATGTTTGCTCCACACCATTGATTCAGAGAACATTCTGAACACAGAAGCCAGCAGAGACGTAACAGCAGTAAAGGGAAATTTTCAGAAAATTTTTCTACTGTGGAAAATTTCCCTTCTGGGCTTAGACAGCTGCTATCAGAGATTGGATCCAGACTTACCTGGAGATAGGCAAATTATTAACTTATCTTGGCAACCATGGTAAATTTCAGGTTGAGTATTGAATAGAAAAAAGTATCTGTTTAAAATTAATCACTTTCCTAAGAGAGAGGCATGCTTCTCAGCATGGTCTGCAGTAGGAGCAGGTGACTAATGCAACAACCATGTCTTATCAGATTTTATGAAGGGCACAGTCATGAAAGGCAAGTGATCAAGGAATTCTGAGTGCTACTGGGGGCTTCCTGTCACGAATTCATTGGTCTTGAGTGTAAGCTCCAAAATGCTGAGGGGTAGCAGATACAATGTATGCCTGCAGGATCCCAGCCCCTGTTATCTGAGAGATCCAAAAATTGGCCTTAGCAATACTTCCAACAAGGAATAGCCAAGAGGATATTGATGATCATCATTTGAGCATCAATTGATGATCATAAGGAGAAACTGATAAAGTAAAAATGCAAGTTAAATGTGACAGATTTTGACAGTGGGATTGAAGATCTAGAGACTCAGAACAGTGTAAAAGTCAAGAGATGAAGAAAACTTTAACAGATATTTTTACTTTATCAGTTTCTCCTTATGATCATCAATTGGTTTGATGTTCTCAGCATAATCACATTCAAAACAACCTATCCTAAATGAAAACCATGTAAGTGACTCAATGCAAGAGCAAAATTAGGACAGAGCATATTGGAGAGAAATAAACCCAGTGAAACAAATCCATATCATCTTTGCTGGAGGTCTAGGTCTCAGTATGAATGCCGCTCTCATTTGAAGAAAAAAAGTTAATTCTGACAAGCACAGAAATTACATTACTAGTCCAAATAGCAGAGGAGATATAATCTTGAAAACTGGAATTTCACATTTGGGTGAGGCCAAATTTTTTGCTATAGCTTAGCTATCGAGTTACTATATGTTTAAAGTATAGCAAAAGATAAATTATATTATTTGAGGTAAAATTTGCATAGAACCACTTTTTCAAATGTTTAATATATCACCTGTTTTTGCTACTATGAACTTCTGTCAGAATTGTAAATGCCTGAAGTTTTCCTATTAATTTAGATGAGGATAAATTATGCCATCTTCTGTGATATATTTTGAAGTGCAGAATGACTGTAGGATACTTCAAGCTTACATCACTTTGACCTAGCGGTTTTTTCAGACCTAGGTGTGTGCATCATTCTAGATGAGGCTCTCCATGAGCACTTCCCCTGTCATTTCCTTATATAAGTTCTGCAGTAGAAGATGTGGCAGGCTCTTGGTCTCCCCAGAATGTAGACTTGAAATCAATGAACCTTTCCATTTAGACTGGAGTAGACCATGTTAATTAATCCAAACTCCATGTCTTTCTCTGTTCCCTTCCTCAACATGATCTGTTAACTCTCGCTCTTCAAAGGGAAAACAATCTCTGAAGACAGGCAGGCTCAGCCAGGAAAATGCCACTGGCCCCTTCCCCCTGCTCTGCTCCTGTGGAGCTACAGCTCTTGTAGCACATCATGGGAGGACTGGTCAAGCCATGAACTTCTGGGTGCATTTTTTGCAGGTCAGCCATGTGCCCATGAATGCTAATGAACCAGAAAGGGTCTGAAATCTTGTTTGTTGGGAGTTTTAAGCACGTCCCAAAACAGTTTGTGCTATGTGTAACCAGCAACCTTGTTGAAGTGCATTCAGGTCCTGGTGGGCAGCCGAAGCAGAATGCAGACTGCAGAGGTACCACACCAGGAAAGACATACTGCATTTCTACTTGAACTCTTACCTTGTCTGAAGTACAAACTGGTGAGGTCTCCTGGTTGAATCAGTATGTGGTTTTGGAAGCTTTCTGTTTCTTTGAAAAGCAGCTCCAATTGACTAGAGGTGATCTCTTTCAGGCATGTTGTAGCAAATTCAATATTGTAGCAATTTCAAATGCAGTTTTTGCTGCTTAGTAGTACATGCTGAGATTGTGTATCTTTCCTTTATGGATCTAGAGTCACACAATTTTTACAAGTTACTTCCCATATACCTGCTTCCAATTGGCAGACCTTCATGTCTCTAAATATCTGACAGATTTTTACAGATTGGCTTTGTTTTCCAGAGAAACACATAAATATCTGAATTCAGTGAGCAAATCTCATATGATCTTTGGGGAAAGAAAAATTCTACTCAGCCCTCAGCTATAGCCCCTGGGGGAAATTTGTTGTATTAGGGAGAGTCTCCACCATGAACATTTTTCTCTTGTCTGAGTTCAACTTACAGTATGAAACAGCTTACCTTTCAAACAATTCTATATTACCTTAATGAAAACCACATTTTTTTTTATCCTACCACATCAGCCAGGCAGAGACCATAAAAAAGTGCCAATGAGAGATCCGCCTTGGAGATTTAAAAACTTCCAATTACAGATGAAGCATAAATGTGCCTGAATAGACTAGACACCCCACACAGAATGCAAAAAGATCACAGAGATATATATTGGGGTGAAGATTCCTTTGGGGTATTATATACTGGGGTGAAGATTCCTTTGAAGAAACAAAAAATAATTAAGACAAATGTAGGCTAAATTCTGCTTATACTAGACTAGATCTGGAGTCTCACCAATACCACATCATTGACAGTGATGTGGTGCAGGGTTTTGCCTAGTGCATCAGCTAGTCTTTATGAGAGTCAAGGGGGTGTGATGGGATGAGACTGGTAACTTCTCCTTACTACAGCGTCACAGTCAGTGCCACAGGCTTGCTTGTGGGATGATGGGACAAAACTATCACTGTGGTAGCTCAGAGTTCACTTACATGGTGGCTGAGCTGTGTGTGGAACAAGAGTCTTAAGTATAAGGGTTTGACTTGCAAGGAAGACCTTTGCTGCTGCTAGACCACCTTGGAGCACATCTTATTAATCAGTTTTAGTCAGTCTCTGACTGCTGTGAAAATACAGTGTGAGAGTCTGCTTCAATTTACATTCATTATCTCTTCCTGGGCAGCCAAGAGGAGAAACAAGGATCACCCTTAACTTTCTCCAACACATTTAAGACTTTATTAAATGCTTATAAGTACTTTAAGTGCACAAGTGGATGACAAAGAATATCTTTCCTAGTCTTTCCTACTATCCTGTTTGGTTTACTTAGTGGGCTTGCAAATGCTACAGGGAGTTACTTTGGCATATGTGATGTGGAACCAAAGGGAATTTGACAAAAGCTTGTCCGTGCTCTTCCTATACACAGTTTTAGGAGCAATCTTTATCTTTTTTTTTATCTTTTTGAAGTCTACAGGAAGGCTGGATTGTTTGTTTTTATGTGTTTTGTTTGGCTTTTTTTTTTTTTTTAGATGCCTGTGTTTTAATCTCTGAGGCAAGGAGATATATATCTTAGTTATCTTTCTTTTTCATTTTCCCCCTGGGGTTACTCCTGGACAAAGGAATGCTTGCCAGTGAAACACAGCTATTGTCAAAAGCATGTTTGAAGAAAGTCCAGGAAAGCAGTATGAAGAAGCTCACCTAGCACAAGGCAAAATGTGAATTTTTTAAGGGTAGTATTCTGTATTCATGGTATTTTATCCTACCATTTCCACCTTAGTAACAATGAATGTATTTGCACTGCTAGTTTCATATTTTCTGCATTATAATTTTTGTCTCAGAATTTTATCCAGCATAACTGCTCTGCCAAGTCATTAGCTTGTCTTAATTTAAATGTTTTCAAGCATATTTCCTGGCTTAGAAAAAAGTGATTTAAAAATAGTAATTATGGTTAACTGAGTTCTAAGAGTCTGCATGTATACCCACTTGTGACTTTATTCCTCTTGGCCATTTTATTTTTTTCTTCAACTATTACTATGCACTAGATAACCCAGAGGAAAATTGTTTTGAGGCATCATTCAATTATCTATCAAAAATTGTTTCAATCATCTTAAAATAATTCACAAATAGCTATTAGCTGTTTATGTGTAGAATAGAAAGCCAGGGAGGGGTTTCAAAGCTGAAATAACAGTGTCATGATTCTCATTAACCCCGGTATGTCCCAGAGTTCAGTGATTCCAATGATTCCTCAGAAGGTGGGATGCCTTAAACTTTGTTTGACTATAGGAGGACCTTGCTCATGAGACTAACCACTGTTCTTTAGGACATCCTGGCATGGCCTGTTTTGAACGTCGCCCATTAAGATTATTCTTGCTTTATATCAACAACAATTGATATACAAAAGTCTCTTGAATGAGGATTAATATCTTGTGAGCCACATATTGTTTAAGCTTTTTAACTATTAATCTGAAGTATCACATCACAGCAAGAGCCCCCAAAGAGTGCTCCTATGC